AAAAAAAAAAAAAAAAAGAAAGAAAGTTTGGCTGGGAGCTGAGCCCTTCTGGTAGGATCTGCTCTGAGAATTCTCCCATTTCCATCAGCCAGAAGACTGGGTGAATTGTAGACATAGGAGCTTCGGGCCCGTGTCCAGAGTCTGCAGAGCCTTAGGAATAGCACATCTGTTTTCAGTTTCATGAAACAAAAGCCACTAGTCAGGAATATTTGAATGATGCTGCTCAGCATTACACATGAATATTCTCTGCTTCTCCAGACAGTCCCTGTTATCTCCAGAATCTTTGTTTCCCCAAAAACATTTTTAAACTTCCTCCATCTCCTTCCTTTGCACACAGAAGCTACTGTGAGGCCGGTGAATTCTCATGGGCTGCCCAAATCCTATGTGGCCCAAGTGATTTCTACAATAAGTCCTCTCTTACAAAAATCTGGGAGATTCCAGTTAGCTCTGGCATGCCTTGAAATGGTTAGAATGAAGAGCTTTATGGACAGGGAGGTGGTGAAGACGTCAGAAATGATGGTTTCTCAAGCTTATTAAATTGATGGATAATGAAAATGTGTAGGATTTTCCAGTACTTTAAATCTGGTTTAAAATGAAAAGAATAAACATTTAGTTAGTCCCATTTCTTTTTTCATATTGTAACTGGGTATATCTATGCCCTAAGGGATAGGATAAGTTCAGTTGCTTTCATCTCTGTTCTGAAATATACTTGTTTATCTCAACAGCCTAACTCAAGGGGCCTTGGCTCATTCTAAGAATCCTGTATCAAAAGGAGTCCATCAAGACCATCAGCTGGATACAGAAACTGGGGCCCTACCCTGTGGGATGAACTCACAGCTAGCTCAGGGTAAGAATGGGTGTTTAAACCCAATAATTAAATTATTATAAGAGCCCCCCCCCTCAACACACATGGTTCAGACAGGTGTGAGTTCTACTGGCTGCAAGCTTCTCTTGTAGCTTATGCTAAGCAGCACAGCGAAGAGATTCCCACCACTGTGGGCCCACAGTCTGTATGAACTCACGGTGGACCCCAGTGGGCTTTATGGCTTTCAAGAAAGATGACCTACAAAGCACTAGGGTGATGCTACTGAACGCTGAGTTTATGTTCTTTATGCTTTCCTTTGCCTCAGATCCATCCCAGAATCAGCAGGTATCGAACCCACTGATGCACATTTTAGAAGATGTGAAGCCAAAAACTCTCCCTTTGGATAAAAGCATTAACCATCAGATCGAGTCTCCGAGTGAAAGACGGAAGTGAGTAGCCAGATAAGATGCATGTGGAATTCCTTTGTTTTTTTAAATTTATTGACTAAGAATGGGGGAAAAAGACTGTGAGATGGCAAGATGTCAGCAGTCTTTTTGTGCTTCTCTCCACTGACTCTGAGTGATTAGATAATAAGTATTTATGGATGTTTGAGACAGTCTTCCTGGCAAATAAATATGCACTCTGATTTTTATCAATTTGTAAGAGCAAAGTAATGTTTTTAACCTACAAATCTAAACATTTGGGAAGAATTTGCAGGCCTGTTGTATAAGTGATTTATTTAACTGAATTAAATTGTCTCAGAGCCTATTGACAAATTTTCTTTCAAGGAAAAAAATGTTTTTTCTCTCATTTACATGCTCTCCCATGAAGTAACTACCCCAGGCTGTATTCTCGTTTTATAAAAACCGTATTATTTTACAGTAAGAATAGTTCCTATCATTTTTGAAGTCTTTCAATATATAATAGGCACTGTGTTGAAGGGTTTACATATCTCTCCCCTTTTTATATACGTTAATTCACTGAACTCTTCCAGTAGCTTTACTGGGTCTTTTTTCCATTTTAGAGATGAAGACATTGAGGATCAGGGAAATTAAATAACTTATCCAAAGTACTTGACTGGATAAGTGGTGGAGGAAGTCAAAATGAACCCTAATTCCACAATAAGATCATATTTGGGCCAGAGGTTCCTTATAATCAGTTTTAAAATATATAACATTCATGATGCATTAACCAATCATTCTACCTAGAGCCAGATGACCTGGATTTAAACTTTGACTCTGCCACTTGCCTGCATAGGACTTTGAGCAAGTTACTTAATCTTTCTCTGCCTCAGTTTCCTCATGTGTAAAATGGAAATAATATTAGTACCTACCTCATAGGGTTTTGTGCCTGGCAAATGATAGGTGCTATATATGTTGGTGGTGGTGCTGATAATGCCAAATGGTGGTGATGATGATGGTGATGATGATGGTGGTGATGATGATGGTGGTGGTGGTGATGATGGTGGTGGTGGTGATGATGATGGTGATGGTGGTGATGATGGTGATGATGGTGGTGGTGATGGTGGTGATGATGATGGTGGTGATGGTGATGATGATGGTGATGGTGGTGATGATGATGTGGTGATGGTGGTGATGATGGTGGTGATGTGGTGATGATGGTGATGATGATGGTGGTGATGATGATGGTGATGGTGGTGATGGTGATGATGGTGATGATGGTGATGATGATGGGGTGATGGTGGTGACGGTGGTGACGGTGATGATG